GGCAGCATTTGATCACTTGGCTTGTATTGGCACAATAAAAATGAATATAATTTCCTCCTTTTGCATAAGTGCTAAGATGAGGTGAATTAACAACTTCAGCTTGGGAAGAAGAGTAAGCCATGCATCTCATTCCAGCTTGTTCTGAGATTCCTGAATTAGAAGTTTTGATCCAAAACTGGTTACAGCAGAGTTATTTTTCATCCTTCCCATCATTCGTAGGCCAGTCATTCTTGGTGCAACAGAACACGGCTGTCACTGGACAAGCCATAAACCAACAGCGTTCACAGAGAAAACGTGCTTCATTTGCATTTGAGTACCCCTCTTGGTTTTCAGGTTGTCTAAAGATCCTTCCTCCAAGCAGCTGGCACACTGTTGCTGTAACTGGAGCACGGTATACCCACACAATTCGGTGAGCTTTGCTGTATGCTTTTGTATGTGCAGGCCAAATGCTTTCAGCCACTGAAATTATACAGTAAAACTTCAGATGATATGTGGTTGTTTTCACTGTTAAGTTAATAACTACGCTAGGTAAAAGTCCAAACATTTTGTTAGGATTATCAAAATGAGTAAGCGGGGAGAACACAGCTGGGAAATTGCATTTGTGCTCGAATGCTTCACCCATTCAAGTTTGGATACAATTTTTAAAGTACCTAACTAAAGCAAAAGCCCTAATTCTTAAGGAGACTGATGTTCCCAGCTCATTAATTTCAATGGGATTTTGTTACTTGACTTCCTTACCTAAGACTGACATCCTGAAATCTGATTTCTTATTTGATGTGTGATTTTAAGGGCCTAAATCCCATTAATTTTCAGTAATATTCAGCCACATAAGTCCTTGAGTCACTACTGAAAATCAGGCTTAGGGACTGTTCCCAAGTGGGCTAGTCCTCCTTGGCCCCCTCTGTAGTGGCCGGTGGGCTCCCGATGCCAGGCTGACCTGCTTTTCCTGGTGCCTCCTGGCGTGACAGACTAGCTTGCTGCTTTGTGGCTGCCACACAGTGTTAAAAACCTTTTCCTTTCCATTATTGAAGGGACAACGGTTGAAATTTCCAGCTTTTACATGCTGTGTCAGCATAGGGTTTCCCTGGGAGATGGGGTTTTCCCTGGGTTCCGAGTGTTGAGGCTACCCTGGTATCTTAAACTTGTCCCCTGCCTCAGATCACACTGAAGAGCAGAATTCAGCCACCAGTACCGAATGAATTCAAATCACTACTGGCCTTTGCAGCTGCATCGCCTTTCCAGCAGCAAAATGGCACCTTGTTCTGAAATCCTGGTGGCCCTTGGAGAAGTTGGTTCGCTGGGCCTGTGTTCCTTCTGGCCCGGGCAGGGTAACCCCATTTGACTAACTCTCTCCATGGTAAGCAGAGTGTTTACTGGCTTGTATCTGTCTCAGCTTTGACACTCTAACAAAAGGTTAGAAATCATGAATGCATCCCTTTATTTCTGCTCCACAGTGCCTCTCTTTTTTTCTGTGTAAACCCTTCACTTGCCTCTTGCCCAGCCTTTAGAAATGATGATCAAATACGAACTTTCAGGGTTTATTTATAGCATAGCCTTTATGGAAAGAGAGAAAAGAAATGATTAAAAAGCAATTTTACAAAATATTTTGTTTTAAGAGAGAATTCATTGTGTTTAAATCAGTGTATTCATTGTACTGTCTAGACTGGCAAACAAAGAAGATAGAGCGTCATTCAAATTAAGATTGTGAAATTCTTGGTGACTGGAATTATGGATTTGGATGTCAACCCTCAAACAAACTATTTCTGAACAGCAGTATTATCAGTTTGCTATATTTAAGGCTTTGTTGGAGACAGAACAGTGCACAAGGTTGATCCGATTCAGTAATGTGATTCTAATGTTCCTTTGTTTCCGATTTCATTATAAATTCATATTTTCAATGTTCTGTTCTTCTTTGTCCCCAGAAAATTGTTGAAAAGACTCTCCTCTGGGAGTAAAGTTTTTGTTCAAACTAACAATGACCAAACTGACTTTAAAAAACAAAAAAACACACAACTGAAATGCAAATTAAGAGAGGGAATTCATTTAGGATATTTTGAGCAACATAGAATGAGTGAGTTGTTGAAAATTGCTGCCTGTGTATTTTTTTAACATGTTATTCCACATGACTGTGGTAGTTGCTGTGAGACCTTAATGCTGTGGATTCTCAAAGACCTATGTATTTTCAGTAGATTTAAAAATACAGAAGTATTTTAGTTGATAAACTGGAGAGACTGCTTTGGCATCTTCTTCCTTAGCTAAAGGTGGATAGATGGGTGAACCAGAAGAAGATAAGCAGCAGCCAGGCCTTGTTCCCTAGTTTAGATCGGGCCTTGAGGAACCAGTTTTCCTTTAGGGACCTCTCCAGCCTGTCCTGCTCCCGGCCCCGTGGGAGTGGTGGCACCTTCCCCGGCTCCCTGGCAGGGGATGGGGCTCTGTGCCAGGGGTTTCAGGTTTGGGGAGACCTCATGGGGAGTGTAGGAGGCTTTCCCCAGCCCTCTGGAGACTCAGTTTCACACTCTGAAGACCAGCAAAGTCTGAAGGCAGCAGTCTTGTAGGTGCCGTGTGTGGTGTTGGGCCCCGGGAGGTTGATGGAGGCACTGATGGGGAGCGAGGGGATGTACCGGAGGGAGAGGAGTAAAGCAGAACATTTAATTATGGCAGAAGCCGAACACGTCCTGGGAACGGCACGGTTCATGACCTGTTCTCTTAGCGCTGCCCAGAACGGAGCAGCAGCAGGCAGGCCCTGCCTGTGCACGGAGACGGTCAACAGCAAAGCTCAGCCCTCCCTTTCATTTTTGTTGTACCTCTGAAAAAAAGTGGATTTGTCTGAGACATCTAGACCCTTCAGATGTCTTGGGTTTATTTTCGTTCAGTATCTCTAGGGCAATTCAAAAGGAGGTGTAAAGCAAGGAGCAGAAAGCAAGGTCACCCAGTGAGAGTGCTTCGAGGGGCTTTGCCTTTGCCACATATTTTCTGTAAGACACAACACTATCCGGAAAAGCAGTACTGATTGTAACATAGGGAATTGTCTTTTACTTTGAGGGTTTTCTTTTCTGTGTGTTCATTCATTTTTTTGGGTAGCTTCTAAATCCAGCTGGCTGTGTAAGGGAGTTGTAAAAGATAGACTATTGTAAACAGGAACAATGTTTGAGCTAGTACCACCTGTTAAAGAACAAGGAATGAATGCCCATTTCTCTTAGTGGGAAAGATACCAACCTTTCCATGCCAGTATTTTAATCTGGCTGGTGTGCAGAGTCTCTGTGCCAGCAGGCTCACATGTACCAGAGAAAAGAACACACTATCTCGCTGAAGTGTTATTTCAAGTCTGTTGGGGAGACAAAGTCCAGTCAACTTTTGCACGTATGAAGGAGTGTGGACACATGGGTGCACAGGAATACTCTCTGCTGTTTTATCAGAAGCCCTAGCAGAGTAAAATCCCGACTGCACCATCCCTGGCAGTGCTTTTTACTTTGGTAGAGCCACGATTTCCTCCAGTATTAGCCCCCTGAAGTTGACACCTGTAGAAAGCAGGCATTCCACATCCTAGTAGCACATTTGGACTGGCAGTATAAAAGGATGTGCTGATGCTGAAGGGTGAAGCAAAGATGCCCAGAACATGCCAGGTAATACTGCAGGTTCAGCCAGGCCGGGCTGGGGGCTGCCTGCTGCTCTGGCACACGGGTGGCATCCCAGGGATGTTGTGCCTTGCTAAGCAAACACTGCTGTGTGTAGGAGAAAGAGTACCTGCTGGCTTCACGGGCACCCCATGTACATCCTGGTGTTTAGGTCACGATCATATTTCTTCAACAGAGGGGAAGTGGGAAAGCAGGAGATCGAAGGTCTGATGGTCATCTTGCTTATCCTCAAAGCTTCCCCGCCTGTCCTGGGCCGGTGAAACTGTGCTTACATTGCTCATCTGCATTGTAAAGTTCCAGGAGATCATCCGCTGTAAAATGCTGGATTAGTAGAAAGCAAAGATTTTACTACAGCAGATATTACAGCCTATAAAATCACCCAACCTTTTTAAAAATCTAGCCATAGTAGCCAACTAGATAGCTGCCAGCGGCAGCACAGGCTGACTGTTCTCCAGGGATCAATCCCCATGCTCTCCCAGTGCTGTGCTTCAGGCACTAACATTAGAACAGGTTTAGGGTCCTGCTTAGAAACTGTGAACACTGATACAGGTTTAGTCAGACACCGATTCTTGAATCCTGATCTTTTACATTTAACGCTGTTCCATCTGAAAGCTATTGCCTTATTGCCCCTTGTGAAATAACTTCCACCGAAAACAACCTCTGCCTGCTGCCTCCACCCTAGTCAGAGAGCTTGACCCTCTATTAACATTGGTGATTAGTGTCTAATTCCGGCAGGATTCGCTTGGGAGAATCCACAGAAAATCAGAATCTCACAGAGATCGGGAAGGGAACCGATGTATTCGGTCCTCTCCCTTCCATGTATTAATCTGTCCCAGAGACTCTTTCTCCAGGGGATTCTGTGAGATCCCTTCTTTTGACTTTGTTTTGGCCAAAAGCAGAGTGGATCCATGTCTGTCATGCTTTTCTGCTGGCATGGCAGAACTCTGCAAAGTTACCTTTAGCTTCTGGAGCACGCTCGAGCCCTCCCTTGCTGCAGGGAATTGATAGTTTAAGAATATGAATAAGGGATCTCATGTACAGTATCGTTTTATTTGAGAACTCTCCCCTCTGGGGATGCAATGTTTAACATTTCCTTTGGTTAGTGTAAATAATAAAAGATAAGTCTGTTCTGCCTCGGACTCCCAGTAAGAAAGAGGAACAGATTTTGGTTTACTGAGGGGTCTGCAGTACTTTGTTCTCATGACTACTATATAATGGGATTGAACATATTTTATGCCATCTGGCCTGCTCAGCCGAAACAAAATACATCAGTAATGTTCCGATTGGTTTTGAAACATCTTGTTCTTGTCAAAAAGTATTTTAAATCAAACCAGGCTTTTCCAGTTTGTGTCTGTGTTTTACTAGGAGGCCATGGCGAAAATGGGGAAAGTTGGGAGAGTCGTGCAGCCTAACCAAGAGCATAAAAGGTAATCCTGACTTTGTGTGTTCCTCTGCGAGAATTTGCTGAAAATGAATTTAAGGTCTGTCTCTTTATAGCCCTGCTTGAATGGGGTTGTATTTATGGCCCAGACTTTTTAAGGGTAACACCGGGGGGGAAGCGTTTGCGGGGCGGCTGAAGGAGCCGGCGCCTCACCTCAGCCTCGCGGCAGGCAGCGCGCCCTCAGGCGGCGGGGCGCGGGCGCCCCCTGGCGGCGGCGGAGGGCGGGGTCCGTCAGGGCGGTGGGGGCGGGGGCGGGGCCTCCCCCTCAGCGGCCCCCGCCCCGCCCCCCGCGAACCGTCTGGAAAGCGAAACCCGCCATACGGGAAACAAAAATGGAATTAGAAGTTGAAGTCGCTTGTTTGGGTGGGAACCTTACGCCGGCAGCATGCTCGTAAAAATTGTGATGAAGAAAGAGTCAAAGCTGCTTTGATGCTAAGGGAAGGAAGTAACCACCTCTATTACAGGGGCTTTAAATCTTGAAATTTCAGGCGTTGTTGAAATTAACTTTCTTATACAGATTTTACGACAAGAAATACGAAGTATTTTTGAAACTTGTGGAACATCAGCGAGAGTATCGCTCCATCATGAACAGTTTCTAATCCAGAGTCACCTCATCTGGGAACAGCAGGGATAACGAATTTCCAAATATTTATGAGGAGGGTACTTTTACTGTACTGTTGATGGCAAAAATATGATTTTATAATTTAAAATGTACATTTTAATTTTTAATGAGAAATAAACCACATTCACTTCACTGCAAAACACTGGGTATTTTCTGTCAGCAATCCCTGCACTCTAGGGACGAGGAATAATCTTTGACTCCAGTCAGAGAAGACAAGACAACCAGTCATGGGTACCCCAGTGCGGGTACGTAGACTGGCCACAAGCAGGAACAGCACAAGGATCATCATAACTCACTCAGATGGACCTGATGCACAGCTCTTTGCCATGTTTTTCTCAGGTAACTACACCTGGCACTGCACATGGTCCTTTTAATTTTACTACCTGCTACGGCTAAGACCCAAACATGATTTCCATTGGAAAGTTCTGTTTGGTTTTGTTTCGGTTTGGTTTTTTTTTTTTTTTTTTTTTTTTTTTTTTTTAACTCTGATTATAGTACTTCTTTGGTGGCTGATATTTGAGAATCAATTTTGCAGGTGTGCTATCTGTTTCTCTCTGTTTTTTTCTGTTTCCTGCTCTCTTTTTTTGGTCTCTGTTCTTGCAGCGCACTTGTTTTGCTATCAATAATTTGTGCCATTTCGCAAGTAGCTCGCCTTCAGTGTGCATCAATCACTGTGCAGATATGAAACATCCCGCTGTTGACATTAAAAGACTAGGTCGAGCAGACACAGTTGCCAAAAATATGTTCATAATGCAGGTGCATTCCTTCCATCCTGCCAGCTGCCTCGCGGGGAGTCAGCCCTGAGACGGCCCCGCTCTCCCTGTCTGTTCTCATCACGTTGCTCCAGCCAGACCCAGCTTAGAGCTTGTGTGTCTACGCAGCCAGGCAGCTGCAGAGCTGAACTCGGCGACAGCAGGTACAGGGAACGCAGAGAGAGAGAGAGAAAGGGTTTTCCTTCCTTAAACTTGCATTTGTCAAGGCTCAGAAACCTTCCTGGCTGCCAGCTGGCCAAATCCGGTCAACAAGAGGCTTTTACATCTTCCCAGGTGATTTTGAAGGTTGCCCTGGATAGTTAGTCCTACAAGGTAGTGCCAGGCTCACAACGACAGGTCGTGGCGTAACTGGGCTGTGGAAGGAGAGAGTTTGGACACTGTGGTTGTGTACAGCAAAAATGGACTCCAGCTTTATACACTTAGCTTGATAGAAATTCCATGCTTTAGTATTGGCATAGGCTGTAACTCCCAGTTAAATGCAAACAGAAGTTACACAATAACAAAATTACAGTTAGAGAACTTGGAAAAAAAATAGTTTCTGGGTTTTTTTATGTTAGTAGTCAGCACTCAAAAACATCTGGTAATTTTTTTAAAGAAACAATGCACTTCCTGCCTTGTAGTTCATGGAAAAGCAATTGTTGTAATTTCCAAAGTACCCATTGTTAAGAGAAACAGCTTTACAAGTTCAGGGACATAATTAAAGACAATGAAAGTTGATGGGAATAAAATAAAGAAACATCATAACAAAAAGAATATAACAAGCAAGAAAACAACTGCAACATAATGGTGTATCATAGCTTATGATTCAAGGGCACAATAAAATATGTCAGCTGAAAATACGTAGAAGGAAAAAACAGTTGGAGACTAGTGCATTGTAAACAATAAATATTCATAAATTTTAATATATTTTAATATATAATTCATATGTAAAAATTAAGTCTACTGACTCCAGATACCTAGCAAACGTACAGATTATACAGGGACAGATGTGTAGGGTTGTCTGGCACTGTACCAGCATTTTTAACTCTCTGCTGCTCAACACAAACAGACATGCACACACACTGCCCCAACTTGAGCAAACTTTCCATAAACTTCCCACTATTTATATCTTCATAATCAGATTGGCCTTGATCTCTCGGGCTGAACCGGTACCAAGACTTACAAGGAAATCACAAGGAGTGTACGAAGTCTAGAAAGGAAACAAACAGTTGTGCTGACTTTGTTAAAGCTTAGATGCACAGAGTTCAAGGAAGCAATGTACCTTGCACAGGCTTACATGAAAGAGTTACACAGAGGTTTGTTCACATTTCTTGTATAATTTTTTAATGCTTTTCTCCCCCTGTCATACTTATACTTTATAGTAGCGTTTTTGTTCCAAGCCAGTGTTACTACCAGTTTCATATTACCAATTTTAAAATCAGGACTGTACCCATTGCAGAGCTGTAAAAAATCTGTATTCCAGTGCATGTGTAATCAGCTGTGGTAACACACAACAGTGACACAAGATTTTGTAGTGATACTCTCTCACATTCCCTGTGTTATACAAGACTTAGCAAATTGTACAGTTGGCTAAATTCTCAAATTAAGATTTTATTCAAATTGAGCCAAGATGTAAAATGTTAAAGCTCAAGAGTTCTAAAACTCTTCAACTGCAAGCTGATTGGCATTGTCATTTTAAGTTCTGTTCATAGCTTTAGGCGTCTTCAGTTCAGGCACTCTGTATGAAGATAAGTTACAGAAAAATGCAGCATGAAAGAGTCTAGCAAGTATACAGTGGAAAACTAGCCTGAGCGCTCGCACATCGAATCACTTGGCCATGCCAAGTATTGCTGAGTCCTGCTTCAGCCTTTGTCAGCAGCAGAATGACAAATCCATCATATGCTGCCCCAAATCAAAGAGAAGCCTGTCATCGCTTGATGAAGTTTGACGAAGGAATCCAAGTTTGAGTCAGTCAGGACTCTGACAGCACGCTCTGAGCTGCAGACCTTGCCATATTTGCCCCATTAGATGCAATTTGCTGACAAATGTTTATCATGCAAATTAAAAGTAGGGAAACAACCACCATGTCATCAGCCATTCCAAGCATCCCACAGAGAGGCCCAGGCTTCGTGTCAAATGGAGAAGACAAGCATATGATTGTTCCGAAGGAGAAAACAGCAACTCTTAGGAAAAAAATCCACACGAGACCACTTCAGGTGAAGATTCCTCGCAAGGCAAGAGTCAGGAATAACGGCATGTCATACAGGTAATCTGCAAACTAAATATTCAGATGACTTACGTTATTTTGCATTCTGATGCATGCGGTTATTTCAGTTCAGCGTGTCTCTTAAGCACTTTTAGATTCAAATCTCTGTGCTGTCCAAATCCACTGATGCTGTTCAATTATTTTGCAGTATCTAGAGGCATGCTTCTAAAAGGAATCCCTGCTGCCCCAGCACTTTGAAAAGAAAGCATTATGCTTGACATTGAATCCTTTTGAAAACTGGGCCTTAATGGCTGCGCTGAGTACATGCCTGTCTTTAAAATCTGGCATCAAGTGAAGGCTATGAATGCTTGTAAACATGGGCTCAAGTCTTGCCTTGGTGTGGACAGGAACCATAGGACCGAGTGATTATTCCTCTTCATTAATGCTAGTTTGTTGGGTTGAAAAATAATATTCTCCTCCCCAGTGCTTAGTTTAGTCCATAGAAACAGACCCCACAGTCCTTTCAGGCCCCCTACCAGCATGTGACAGGAGAGGAAGGTTTTGCTTTGGTGATTTTCTACACCATCAAGAATGGGCCTCACTCGTGGCTTCGGCTCTTGTCTTTCACAGCATTTCCATTTCCTGTCACGTTTCTGTACCAGCTGGGATTCCAGCTTTAAGAAAGTGCAGAGCCAGTGTGGACTGTTTGAATTTGGCAATACCTGGGGAAAAAAAACCCAGCTGCTTTCTAAGCTGGAATCTGATTTGAAATTTTAGAGGCAAGTTAAAATCCTGGAGTTCATATCTGAGTTCATACTTGAAAATTCCAGTCTAACCATCTCTATTTGTGCTTTTCTTCCTGTATTTAATCCCTCACAGCTTTCTCCCTGACAGGATGGTTGCAGAAGGACTCTGAGCTAGAAGCTCTGAGAAGCACCTTTACTAGGAGGTGCTGGACCCAGCAGTGGATGGTAACGCTTTCACTAGGATATTGCCAGTGAGCACGTGGAAAGGTAATGCATGTAATGATACAAACGAGTTTTCATTGCTGGGTCTCTCTCAGTCCTCTATGTTTTATGCACTATTAACTAGATAAATGTAGATTTGTACTTACAGGTCGAGGTTGCCCTGAGAAACGCTTGTTGTAATCTCTAATGTCATGTACAGTTTGTTTACTTGGTTTATCTTGTTGCTTTTCACACGAGATGTTATCCAGAAGAACCACCTTCATAAGAAAAGCAGATGGGCATTATTAGCACAGTGTATTTTACTCTCCGGTATAAGGGACAGTGTTCTGTGGTATGTGTCTCTCCAGAGTCTCTCTCTCACAACTGGACCTTTGTCTGGCACCAGCAGTTTCACAATAGCAAGAACATTTTCTTTTTAGAACCTGCATCCATCCTTCCAGTACAACAGGCACCTCTGACCAGGGTCAGATGAGATTAGGAACTTCCGTATTGTTTTTTATGGATATCCCAGAGATTCGATAAACTATACAGAAGTAAAATGCTGGAGGCCTGTCTAATATTTCACAGAGTTACCTGATATGACATGTCAAATGATAAAGGTGAATGGCTGCAGGGTCATTCAAGTCTAAGTGGCTTTCGAAATGCTACAGAAAATTAGAGGATAAATAAAGTTGATCCTAAGAGTTCAAGCTTGTAATTTTGTATGTCTCATAATGCAGAAGGAAGTAAGTCTTACCTTTCGTCTGCAGAGAGGGCAGGTTATTGCTGCTAACCAGGGACTATGTTTCCAGTATGTGATCAGACAGGAACCTACCAAAAAAAAAAAAAATTAAGATACATGAAATGTATTTGAGGGTATTTAATGTTTACAAGGAAGTTATCAGAGTTAGTAAACCCTCTTTCTACAACTGACTGTGAAAATGAATGTAATTCTTTGCTTTCCTTTTAATACATAGTTTGACTCTGCAAAGTGACGGTGCAAAAATTAAGCCTCTGCTGTTCTACACTGGTGTGCACAACCATACAGGGACCTCCTAAGGGTGACTTGGTTCAGTTTCTTCTCCTGTGGGTAGTGTCTTACTCCTGAAGCTACCCTGACTGTGGTTGAAGCTCTCCGGAATATGGGCACCCTTCAGAGCGCAGCACTGGCCGCTGTGACCTAAAGCAGTGCAGCTGCACAAAGGTGGAGTTCCTCCAGAGCTAGTGCGACTTCTACAGATTACGAGGGCCAGTTATCCCCAGTAAACCAAGGTGCACAGCCAAGGGGAAGCCCGCTGATGCAGACTCCTGGTAGCACCCCATGTGGCCTGGTGATGAGGTATCACATGTCTCTTTGCTTCCCTCCCCTCTCTTACTATCTTTTAACTCTGCTACCCTCCTGGAACTGAGTAGCTCTGGAAGAGCGAGCTGCTTCATTCTTTTTGATCCTTCTTACCCAGACAATTGCTATCTCATTTCCAAATACGACATCACCTCTTCTTCTACTAAGGTTTCAGGTGTGAAAGAGGGCAGAGTCCAAGGCCAGTACGATTAGGTGCCACATATAACTGACAGCAGTGACTGACATACATGAATGTCAGTGCTGGCACTAACAGCAAAAACAGCAAAGCGTAAACAGCATCTAATCAGAAGCAGCACAGCTTGACTTTCAGCTCCCAGGCACAGTGCACAGTGTGACAGGTCAGGAAAAAAAATCTCTCAACATTTAAACTGATCAAATTTGACAAGGACCCCAGTGAAAACAGCAGCAGAATGCCGCACTGCCATTTTGATGGAATTGTTTTATTGAACTGAAGAATGCTCTTTGTTCTTAAAAATAACCAGCAAGTAGTTTCTTGTAAGCAGTATTAAAATGAGAAGTCTTCAGGAGCCCTCAGTGCAGGGTTTTTCTGCACCCAGACTTACTTTGTTGTCACTGATACGGGAGTATTGGAGAAACTGCATTTGAAAGCAAGTATAAAAACATTCATAATGCTGTATGTTATATACTAGGACTTAGGGATGTTAAATTTGGCCCAAAGAAATTTTTTATGAACCTCGCTCTGACTTGTGCTTTTTACTTTTGTTTTCATTTAAGTGCAGGGGTTTTCTTTATGACTCTTCTATTTTGTTTGCAAATACTGACCAGTTGGCTGGGCACACGCTTTGTAGATCTAAATCCCCACGTGGTGTGTGTGAACTCTGTCTGGCAGCCTGAGCTCTGCATTTGAGAAACATCACACCTGGCTTCAGGACGCGCTTTGACCCCCTGAGGCCAGATCCTGCATCGTGATCCACGCAGCTGTATTGCTGTGCCGGTGCTCGGTGCCAGTGATGACAGTGGGGCACTGATGGATCCCATAGCTCTTCAGCAGCTTTCAGAAAAGAACCCCATGGAAATTAAATTTGCTGCATGCAGAATCCTTTGTTTAGTAGAACAGGAAAGGATGGACTCCTCTGTAGTTGACCTACTTGTGCTTAGGTGCATTTTTTGTAAAATAGACAAAATCCTGTTTTAATCTAGCCTGCTACACAACCTTCTGAGGGATCTGTAGGTTTCTCTAAAATACCTCCGTGGTTATTGTTAATTAGAAAAAAATAATATTGCTCAAGGATCGCTTTTCAGTTGAACTTCCTGAACATATGGTTTAAACTGAAACTGAAAAGGAAAACTTCAGGACAAACTGTATGAATTACTACTAATAATAAAATCAGACATTTTTTATAAGTCCACATTAATCTTCTTTAGAAGCGTTGGGTTGACCACATTTTTTAAATAAAACTTCTACCAGAGTGGAATATATTAAGAGAGCTCAGCATTGCCTTAACTCCGTTCCACAAGGCATCAAGAGAAGTTTTATTACTGATTTCAGTCACAACAGAGTTAGATCTACACAGAATGGTTTTGATAAGCCCAATGTAAAGTTTTATTGATTTAAGACATGAAAAACAGACATGTAACAGGGGCAGCTTCTACTATATAAACATAGTCGTAACATATATAATGCATTGCGCTGGAATCAATGCTTCAGAGTGTAAATGATGATGTACTTGAGGAAAGTAAAGCCTAGCTAAATGTATGCAGCTAAAGGTAACAATATATACCAAGTTTGTATATGGTACGTCTCCTCTGCAGATCTCAAAATAAAATAAAAGTGAAATCCATATCATTATGTCATATTCACAGACGGAAAAGGGAAAATTAACTAGGCCAGAGAAAGAGGAAAGTCGATGATCTTTGTTGTTATGTCTCTCTTTGTACTTGAAACTGTAACTACTGTGACATTATTTGAAACAGGTTTTGAGGCCATATGCTTACTGTTTGTCCTGGAGTGAGTTATATGCAAAGCATCCTTTTCCTGTATGTTATAAAACAGTGTTAAAAAAACATGAAACAACCTAAAGTTTTAAATGGTGTCACTCAGGGGGTAGATGAGCCCAACGAAGTGTCCCTAGCTGTTGGTGATCCACTGACTTGTTGTGGTTTCAGGAGATGGAGATACTGGCAGTGGTGAGGAGTTGTGCTGTGTGAGCGTCAGCTCAATCTAGAGAAAAACGACACTTCCTAAATGTGCTTTCATTGCACCGGCATTAACAACACAATCGCTTGTGCTCATTTATTCTTGGGTCTTTTTATAACACTCTTACATCGTGAAGAAAAGTGCAAGTGGCTTATAAATAGCACTTGTGCTTGCTTTAAGGTCTCTCTAAAATGCCAGAGCAGCAGAAAGGAGCTTTATGGTTCTGACCAGTGTCTTCTGCTGCATTTGGCTGTCACAGGGTCAGATAGTGCTGCCCCCAGCCACCTGCCTGCCCCTCTGCCAGAGATTTGCTGCACAGTGGCCCTCAGGTACCTTCAGCCTCATCAGATCATGAACTGCAGGTCTCTGCTGCCACCCCTGCTGTGGGGGTGAGAGTGTTCGGCAAAGAACCTGATAAGCAGCTGGGGCGGGGAGGTTGTAAACTTCACCTGCAAATTCCCCGGACAAAGTATCTCAGAGGTCTGAGAGAAACAATGTTCAGTGCAGGTTTGCTGGTGGCCTCATCCTGCTGCCTGTCAGGGCAGGTGCAGAGCTCACACTGGCACTAGTGATGCAGAATGTGGGCCTTAAAAATCCTGAAATCCCCTTTATAAATGCAATTATGAACATAACTCCCTCCAGTAGTCTGTGCTTCATCCTTGTATTCCCTTTGAAAAATTATTTAAATTTTGTAATCCTAACCATATGGCTTAGCAGCTTCAAAGAAGGCATTTAGCAGACACGTTTATCTAGAGAATTATGGTTTTACTTAGATTATCCAGTGATTGTAGGTGCACTGGGGGAGGCCAGGAGACCACACCACAGGCAGCCTCGACATAAGGACCCTCTAAATCTGGGCCTGTCCCTTTGGTGGTAAAACAGAGCCTGGGCTGGAATGAGCAGTTACTGAGCACGCATTGTGACGAAATGTCTTTGAATATTTTTCTCCTGTAAGACCACATGGATTTAGTTAAAAAACAATAAACAGATTAAAAGAAAGTTTATACATGACCAGAAACTTGCTTTTGGAATTGTTTAACGTGTACCTTCTACTATTTTTTGTTTGTTTGTTTGTTTGTTTAGAAAGCTTTTACAGGACTGCAAACCAATGTAATTAAGCCTTTGTGCTCTACATCACTTCTGCTTTATTTTAGGCAAATGTTTCACATGGGAAGCAAGTCTGTGAAACAGAATCAGACCTAAGCCAAGTGTGACTTACTCTCAATTTGCACCAATATAAATACATTCAGAATTAATTTTATGGGATAGCTGGATTTTTATGCTGTTGATTAAAAAGACAAGCTGTCTTCCCAGAAGTGAATTCATGCTTGAAGATAAGACTTCATGCTTGTTACATCTTGAGCTTTCACAGTTACAAACTCTATGGTTATTAGACCGTTGATTTTTATAACAGAGTTTGAGGGGTTTTTGCACAGTTGAATACAAGTTGTGTGATTTTCTGGTGCATTTTACCCATTCCATGACTTTGTATTGTAATATAACAGTATCCTGTGAGATGATCTGTTACTTCTTCTCATCTTAAGACTTCCTGGGCATTTCAAAAGTGGCACCTTGTAGATGTGAAAGCAATGAGCAAATAAAAATAATGTTATTGATTTTTTGGGGGGATAGAAAGATGCAACTTCTCCTGCTGCTAGTGAGAGCACTTACACTCTAGGGAGAAGGGCTTGGTTCTGGTTCTTACACAGGACTTGAGATTTCTGTAAGAAGAGTGCTGTATTTAGTGGCCTGTGTAAGCACTGCACTGGCAATCCAGAAAACTTACCGCAGAATAAATGTCCACAGTTGGTTTCTACTGGGAAAGTAGCTGTTTGGAGACAGATGGGGCAGCTGAAGTCACTGTGATTACGAGGTTGCCAAATTTGGAGTGGTTCCTAGAAGAAAAGTAGTAGAGAGTCTTCAATAAATTAGTATTTTGAAATATCCAGATCATTAATAATAATTGACTATGATTAGCAGAGAGTCAGAGAAACTAAGTATAGATGCTATGCATAACTAATTGTTACCTCAGAAGATAATGAAAATTAGGCACAAGGGAATGCAGTGCTGTGTGTCATCCTACAGAAAGGACCAGTGTCAGAGGCAAGATCATGATGCCACGTTTCTGCTTCCAGTGACATATCCACACACCCCTGGATAATATTTATGTTTTAAAAGCCAGTCGAGTTTGCACCACTGGCTTGTCTAGCTGTCGTTATTAGTCAGACAGCACCTGAAGTCTGCCTCGGTAGCTCCTGGATCTTTTGCCTCCTCCTTTGTAGTCATGTCTATCACTTACATGGACTGAAATAAAGGCTGGTGCGTTCTCTGCCTTCCTTGGGTGGCAGAGTGGTATCCTTAGTGTGTACCATAGGCTATGTAACAAGACGACTCCCTTATTTAAGTAATCAAATTGCTTCCAAACAATCCTTCCCTTTGCTTAGCAAAGGCTGTAATTAAGAATAATATTGAGCTCTGGTTTTAGAGCGGGAAGATAAGAATTCTGTAAGCCTCTGAAATGCTAAAGAGGCATTTTGAAATCCAAAGTGTATTATCACATTTCTGGAGGGGAAAGGCTGAAGGATGTACACTGGTCTTCCAGTCTTTGCTCCTAAATCATTGCCTCTAAGCAGTAAAAGTCTATTTGGCAATATATTCATCTATGCCAGGCTTGTCTGATACAGTGAGAAATAAAATAGCCGTTCTTGATTCCTTACCACTTTAAAAGTTTTTACTCCCTTTATTATGATGCATTAGCTAGTCTGTAATGGATGATGGACCTCGCACCATGGAGAAACTTACATTTGACCATATGTTTGATTGCCATAACCACAATGAGATCAGCCTTTGAAGTAGACGTAGTAATAGTGTGGTTAGTGTCCTTCCTTTTCGAGATAAAGTTATTTCAACATTTCTATTAGTCCCAGAAACAGAGGGGCACTTCTGAAATTGGGAGGGAGCTTCCTTCACTTTAAGGCAGAGTCTTGAAGGTTATTGACTGTCCTCCACTTCCACATACATGTTTAATGAGGTTAAATTACAGTTTTATTTTGTATTTTGATCAAAAAAATATGAACTTCCCATGTTTCTTAATGACTACAGAGGTCCAGCATTATATGGAATGGGTATTATTTCTCCCTTACTGAAGCAAGGCACTCGGATGAGGTGATGGCTTACTTTGGGATTACAGTATCGCTGCATGCTTGCTGTACCTTGTTGCCTGATTTGGATTGCTTATTTGGTTTTCAGATACCTGATTGGCACCTGTCTACGTAAGAGATCAATGAATATACTTCCAAGTATTTGACCTAATGATAGAGGTTTTTATAAAGAGAAAAGGAATAGATTCTGTCTTTTGCATGTCAAATACGGGAAGATCCAGAGTGACTGAAAAGATTCAAGCTCATTTGAAAACAGACAAAGATTTTTTTTTTTTTTAAGTAATTCATTTTTCTAATGCAATAATTCCAAGAAAGAAGTTGTCGTGTTGGTCTGCCAACTGAGCGTTCAGGAAGCCGGGTCGCTTTCCAGAGCCATGTCTCAAATGTTCACCAAATTAGTGATTTTAAATCAGCACCTTTAATACTAGGCTTTCCTTCCTATAATGAGGATCTGTAAATAAGAACTGGGGGGTTTAAAACAACGTGCCATAGCTACTGGAAAAAGTCTCCTTTACTGTTTGTGAAGTTACAGATGTATTTGTTTCTGATTCTCAACAGAAAAATTTCAGATGCTGAAGGCATTTACATTGTTTTCAGATTTTCCTCTCTGTGCACTGATAAGATTATCTCCTGCTGAGATAACCACCACACAATAGCCTGACAAATCTGGCATGACTGGGTATGAATAAACCACAACAGTGATCAGATTCAAGTCTGGTACACTGACAGGTGAACTCCAGGCAAGCAGGTTTTAACACAATGCTACCTGAAATTCCTGTGGCACATTACCTTCCTGTATTTTGAATTCCCATGCAGTACTGATGGGGTATTTGCAGATTCAGAAGAGGATTATTTCATCTGATAGCAGCTGTAATAGTTTTCTTCAGGTGAGGAACTGCCCCATAGCAACTGTGTTTATAAACCCTGCATACACGATATAAGCTGCTTGGGTATCTCCTCTTTATTTTTGCAAAGTAATAACACATTTTAGCTTTGTCTCATACAACAAAGGGAACCAAGTGTGTTTCCAATTATGCAATAGATACCGAGTCAAGGGAAACCCAGCATTCCCAGACCATAACCGATGGAAATTCTGAAAAACTCTCTTGCCCTTTGCAACCTCAAGAAGTTGAAACTGCTTGTGTATTTTGTATTAGAATGTGTTGTACAATAATTAACTTACTATGTGACTCCTAGGGGACAAACGATTATAGTTTTTTTCCAGATGACTCATCTTCTGCTGACTTACATGAACAAGTCTGCAGAAACAGAGTTTGTGCTGTTCAGAAGAGGAAAATTGAACGTTGCTGTATGATACCAGTTCTGGCTGCTGAGGTAAGCTACCACACACAGGGGCTGGAAACTCGTCAGCTGAGTGCGAGCTCCTGTTGAGACCTTGAAAATGCTCAAACTCTGCTCTTAGAGCATTTCAGTTGGAGTTAGGACAGAATGAGAGCAAAGAACCAGGCAATGGTCCTCTATTAATGACACCAGGTGAAGAATACGTGCATGTATATGAATGAAGAAAAATGAGAAAAACCCAGTACCACAAACCAGCATTTTATACCTTGTCATCTCTCACTCACTGCATGAAACAAGGTGGGAAACTTGACCAGCTCATGCAGTATTTCTAACGAGTGACAGATTCAGAGGAAAAAAAATATACCGTATATAAGTAACTGTATACGTATAGAGTTAAGCTGTGGATTTTCTCATGGATGCTAGAAATTTCTGAGATCAGCAGGTACTGAGCATCAACTACTATTAAATGCAAAGGTAGTACCTCTTACTGAGGAAGTTCCTGAACCATAAATCCCTAGAGAATGGAAGAGTGTTCTGGGGAAGCATCATTAATGCTCCTTTATTTTTCTGTAGGCGTCCTAGTGCTGCAGAGAGGGCATGATGGCTTTGCTCTGACCTGGTATAGCCATTCTTACACAAATAGAAAATCTGGGGGAAAAAGAGACTTGAGGTCACCTTCAGCAAAGATATGGGTGGCTTAGTCTTGTCCTGAGTAGATAGGCTAGGAAAAACATGCCAAATCTTTCATTTATTTTTAATAGATTATGTGCACATAATTAGATTTCTGATTTATTGAGTCCAAGCACTCAAAATGGTGTTCGAGTTGGCTTTATCCTGGTTATAAGGAGACTGCCCAGCTGGATCTGATAGAAAGAGAAGACAGATATCTGACATAACTATAAGTCTGCCAAAATTAATTTACCCCTTCCAAAATCTTGAGCCAGCCTTTGAACATTAGAACTAACAGATTGAATTAGAGATTGAAGTAGCGATGATGGCAGTTAGTATTTTGTGTCATGAGACTGTGAGTTTTTGATGGCATTAAACAGTCTTAACAAAATAAAATATTTAGTGTGACTTTGCCTAAAATGACAGATTTCTTCCCCTCATGCAGTAGTCCTACATGTAATTACAAAGAGCACAATGAAAATTGTCATTCCTGTTAATATTTTAGGCTGGAAACTTTGAGAGTGCCCATGAAAGCTACTCTTTCTTATCCTGGTATTTGGAGCTGAATGTACTGTGACATACATGCTCATATGTGACAGAAATGGCTTTTGAAGACTTACATTAAGATTATAGGGGTTGCGATGGATGACAATGTACAGTGCTTCTTGTCAAATTTTAAATTTGCTACTTGACAAAGACCATGGGAAGTTTACATGTTTATTTTTAAATACAGTTTTAAGTTCTTCTGAAATCAGATCCTTGTGTTTACATTGCCTTCTTGGTGAGCACCACAGGTGTTACTTGTTCTTGGGGTCAGATTTGCAAAAGAATTCTCCATGTACGTACCTCATCAGGGGTCAGGCTTTGAAACTGGTCAAGCCCAGAAGTTCCCTGTGTGACAGATTTTTGAGAAAAAGGAGATCTTTTCAAATCTGGACACATCTTTTGACTTAAAATGAAAGCCAGGCATTTCAGAAAATAATTCTATTAGAATTCTGCAAAATCAAGCCTATTGTACTAAAACACAGCCACTAGATTTGATACATTTTTAATACTTGCATGCAAAAGAAAGGTGTGAAGTAGCGATCAGATTGTTGATTACAAAGCCAGAAGCTCCTGGGTATAAACCTTTATCTCCGTGACACAGCTCAGCTCACATCATCTTTCAGTTTACCACAAGGAAATTTAGTTTTAAAGCATCAGTGATGAGGCCATTCTCATCAGCATTTTTGAAAAGAAGGAATTAAAATTTAAAAAGTGTTTAGCAGAGTCAAGCGCTAACAAACATTTATTCATTTTTCCATGAACGTGTCATTATTTAGAAGGAAAATAGACCTTATTTTGAGGTTTAAACTTGTTAGGAAGGCATGATACTGTGTCACCTATTGGTCAGATCCTTTTGATAGGTGAGCAGCTGCTCCGTGTCTCAATTACAAGGCCAAGTATGATGATCAGGGAGAATACACTGGACAGCTCATTATGTGACAATACATATTTAACCTGATCACAAGCAAGTTATGACATATTTTAAAGAGGAGGATTCATGCAAATTTTCCAAAAGTAATCTAATGATTAAAAGTATGAATAAATACTTTGATTATTTATTCATAATCGTTCTAATGAACACTTCCTACCGTGGTTCAGCAGACCTACACAAAGTTGGGCTTACCATTCCTCTTTCCAGAAGCGTTTGAGAGGAGCCAGGTAGGTTACACCAGCTGACAGTGTTGGTGTGGAATCATTCATTAAGGCCAGGATGCATCTTTATCAATTATTAACTTAGTTGCCCAATGGCAAGGGTCTATCAGGTTTTCTAAATTATGGTTATGAAAGAAATGTGGTGTTTTGGTTTTTTTTCCCATTAAATAAAGCAAATCTGCTAAAAAAGCAGAGGACACCTGGGAAAAAAAATCCAACAGCCCTCCCTTTCTAAAACATCTAAATAAATCTTCTCCCCCCAAGAGATGTTTATCATAATTGAAAAGATACCTGAGCCTAATAAAAAAATGCATTATTATTTTTAAATATTAACTTGATCAAGGGCACACTACAGGTATTTTGATCATCTGACAGAAGAGCAGCTTATCAGTATTGTTGTGAAACAGGCTTAAAGCTTGCCAGTCACTTCTGATACTTTGGAATTGCATAACTGCAGAATTAGATTGTGTAACACAATATTGTCCAGTTACCAAGTAAAGTGTAGAATTTAAGCAGAAAGTCTAACATGCTAAAATAATTTAAATTGATGGGCACATATACTTCATAAGGTATTTATTCTTTGTCATGCTCTACAGTCCTTAATAAAGGCTTGATTCCTGTGAAGATGTTCTCCAATTTAATGCAGCAAAATTAGTAAGGAAACCTGTTAAGGGCTTGGTTTTGTGCAGTGTTAACCATCCTGATCCTGATTTGACAAGGCACTGAAGCACATGCCTAATTTTCAGCCCTCCGGTAACACATAACCTCTTACGGAGGGGTGGAGTGAGAGTCAGTAATATTGGAATAGAAATACACTTAGAACAAAAATAATGCCCCTGGCAGTGCTGCTGAAGCACAGATAAGCTAAACAAAGCACTTTTCAAAGACTAATAACCGGATGGGATTTGTAGCATAAACAATGCTCCGTGTTAGTCACCAGTCCCCAGGGCATCTTCCTCACTTTGTTACAGATAAATTGGCAACAAATGAAATACTGTATGTGATTTCCTGCCCAGGGTATGCATGTATGCTCGCATGCCAGTGTGATAGCTGTCATTTATTATTTATCCAAGTCTGTATACAAATCTACAGTGTGATTTAATTACTTATTAAAGGTGCCAGACTCACAGATGCAGAAGCTGGAGCCATTTCTTTATCCAGAGAACTGACACTGTGCAAGCAGGGGCATCCTCTCCAGGCTGTTCTAGTAAAATGCTTCACCCCGCTGGACTCCCCAGATATCTGGGCACAGCTCTTTCTCTCCAACCTTTTCCCAGCTACTCTGCACAACATGTTAAATTCATAAAGGCTGCTAACAAAGATGTCAGTTATTCCCATGATTTTTCGACAGGACTGTTTATACATTGGAAAATTGGTTTGAAGACATTAAATCTATTTTATCTAGGCCACTCGAGCATTTGATTAGTACTAACTCAAAAAAGAATTTGAATGGTTTTAATACAGAGGTGAAACCTCCTCTAACTGAATAACAGCAAAAATATTATACGTGTTTTGTAAAGGTGAAATGAGCCCAGGAGATTTCCTCCTACTTGCCAGGGGCCCCTTGCCCAGTGCTATGGCTCTTTTGCAGCCACTAAAGCCCTTACCTAACAACCACACTAGTCTTGGAAATTGGATGCTAAATTCTGCATTGTTTCAATAAGCAGGATTTTAATTTCATTTTTTATGTCACTCTAAACCTACTATTGCTCAGTTACCGTTACAAGCCAAAGGACTTTCCCTGCCCCCAGGCACAGCTAGGTGCGGGACAGCAGGAGACTGCAGTCTTCTCGCGCTTCCATCAGCGCCCAGTCTCTAACAGGGAAATGGAGATTTTTTTTAGCCTTAACTCATTGAATTTGACCATACCTGTTTGCCAGAGAAAGACTGTTAAATAATAGCAAGGTTCCCTTCACACAGCTCCAGAATATTTTGAGAAAGGGAACAGATGCAAGAAAGTCTCATACATTTCTATGAATCTGTATGTTAAATCGGTGAAAACATGATTGCCCAAGGCCAGCCATTCCTATTGCCTTGCTGACTTTTTGGGTTCCCGTACATGCCTAAAAGTTGCAATCTTGGATCCATTTTGTCTAATTGTAGGCTGGGCATTTTTGGTGCTAGATCTTTGGTTGAGGCCCTAGAGCACCACTATAGTGCAAGTGATACTGTTTACTGATAATCTTGTCATTCTGGCTTTGGAGTTTGAGCTGGTGAACGCTTACGTGGCTGAGTTATCTTGCATAGTTGAATAGTCCCATCAAAGCCAGCAGGTCTATTCATGCCAACCACTTATATTATTGCATTATTAATTCCTAATTTCACAAAGTTTCCTATTGTACCCTGCAAAAGCCTACATAACCAAAATTGGGCCTAAGAAGTATAAAGATGGGACTGAGAAGTATGAAGATGTGAAATAATGCTTCCTGGGCAGGGCCTGTGTCATGGCATTTGACACAAAGCAGGGGGTTTTCGGCTGAGGTGGAGTTTTGCATTATGCACTCTCAGTGTGTCCCAGCTGTGACCTAATTGCACCCTGGGATATAAGAGTGGTGGCTGCTGGCTACGTAAGCAGGCTTCACAGAGTTCTGCTGCAATGAGCAGCTAAGCTATCGACCGCTGTGAACCTGGCTCCTGTGCAAGAGCCAAACATGTCGGACCAGCTGTCAGTGAAGAGCATCAGGAAAGCAAGAGAGAAATCTCTTTAAGTGGAAGCGTAAGTGAATGGCTCGTAACATCTGACAGTCGTATCTTAAAAAATGATCCAAGCGCAAAATGTAATTTTGTTAGAAATACTAATAAAAATAATTGTAACCTCCCTGGCACTGCTTAGAGCGAGCAATCTGTTCAAAAGAGGCTTGACCCCCCCCTGCTGTAAGAGTTGGCTTTCACTCTTTGGAATATGCTATATCAAGAGAACCTTAAAATATGAGAGAAAATGTGTTCAAAATTTTTAGGCAAATTGAAGCTTATTTTCAAAGAAAAAAAAAAGAAAAATTACACTGATATAAAAATGATGGGAAATCTGATCTCAGTTTTGACAGGTGCATGCCAGCTTGCTTATTTAATATATAAATGTTGCAGTGAGTAACAGAACAATTCATCTTATGCTTTACATACCTACAGCTATCCTACTTCGCTTAGCTATGGTTCATTTTTAGACACTTCTGTGTTATTTAATAGCAAGTGATAGCTATGACATTTTCACCTACTGTTTCTATTTTTGAACAGACTTTTCTTCTTCAACTAGAGAATACTATTTAAATACTCCAGTTAAAAACATGTCTTAATAATTTTTCACACCGACTTATAGATGCTGAGAAAGGAACACTCTTGAATAACTTAGCTGTTAATTTTCCCCTTTAAATTAATGAACAAGTTATTAACATTTTATTCAGTGAATCTTCTATACTGATAATAAAGTTTCTGAATAACAAGATAATGATATATAATAGGTACAATGGAACATAGAGTTTTTTAAATTCTTTTGTGTTTGGAGAGATTAGAGATATTACCAGAATTAGTTCTCTGTGCAAGAGTACATACCAGTACCCTAGCACAGAATCAATCCAAAGAGATTACTTCTTTCTGGAAATTAAGTTCATGATTTCCCTGCTCCTGAAAGACCATGCTGATGAATTTACTCATGGAGTAATCCCAGACTGTGGTGAAAACTGGAGGTATTCAGTGGACAATATTAAATAAGCGCAGGGATATTCTCAGGATCAGAATCTACAAACCAAATGGTCTTGCTGGGACACAAAACCACCTGCCAAACTGGTGCCTTGTAAGTCACAACAATGCCCTGCCTTTGCAACGCACCTGTGGAAACAGGATTTAAAAGTGTTTGTGACAAATACATCTCTGTCATAGTTCGTATCCCAGTACTGAATTTTTTGTTACAGGCAGCTACTGAAATTGTATCTGAGAAATTTAATACATGTGAACTTGTAAAGCCAGGAGCTGCTACCATGACAGTGCAAGCAGTTCCATGATGTCAATTCATGTCAGCAAGCTAATACTGGAATTGCCAAATCCCACGTTCACTTGTGACCTTGTTCACTGAAAAAAAGATAAGAATACTAAAATAGAAGTGCAAATATCTGTGAGAAGGTAAACAAAGAGCTAGAAATAGAAAAGCATAGATACAAGATTGACAAATGTTAGTGAAACAACAGAGGTGGCGAGAGAGCACACTAGGAGAGAAGGTTACAGTGACAAAGTGAGGTTTTGTTGAGGAAAAA